TCTTTAATTATTATAAACTGTTTCTTTAATTCTTTCTTTGGAAATTGTCCTTTTAAAAGCAATTCCACTTGGACACATCAGTCAAATATAAATTTGATCACAATGTAAAAAATACTTATATATTGATTATAATTTAAATATTTTAATCTAATATAAATTAAAATTTGAATAATCAGAAATTGAGAAAATTGATCTTTATAATATCACAGATAATAAAAAAAAGATTGCACTAATAACTCTAAAATAATTTCTTGAAATTGAACAAATAGGACTATTGAAATTTCTTTAGTTTAACTGAACTTTTTACTAATTTTATAACTTAATTTTTTTATTATAATATAATAAGACTTAAATTAAATCAAATTAAATAATTTAAACTATTAGTAGAAACTCCTTTCTATAGATTCCACATGTATATAAACTCTTTTACTGAAAATTTAAATAAATATATTATTGAGCAAAAAAAGTAATAAGATAGTATTAATTTATATATAAAAACATTTATATATATACTATATCCAAATTGATTAATAAAATATGCATATATATATTTTTTATCCTTAAAAAAAAATAAAAAAAAAAAATAAGTATTTTAAATAAAAAAGATTTTTACAAAAACATATTTTAAAGAAATTATATATTTATTGTATAGAAAAAATTTTCATGAACTTATGATTAACATGTTTTATATATTTAAAAGAACTGTGAAAAAATTTTTTTTTGTTACACAAATAATCCGTCACTGATAAATTCGAACTCCCACTAGATGATTAGATTTCTTCTCCCATTTGCTGACATTTTGCTCTTTCCATAATGTAAGAAATGTTGGGATCTATTATACACATGCTGTGAGTTATTGAAAATTAATGCCTCGGGGTGTCTAAAATACTACGTAGGGCGAATTTGAGCAGTCAGAAAAGATTGGCCGCTAGCGTGCTTGGCTGCGGTAAAAGAAAAGTTTGGCTTGACCCAAATGAAGTGACCGAGATTTCTAACGCAAACTCTCGTAAGTAGCATCGTGCCTCTATAATAATATTTTTTTTAAAAAAATTGAAGATTTAAACAGTTTTTTGTCTTTAATTAAAATTTTTTTTCAACTGAGAATCGAATTTATCATTGCTTGATCCAAATTATCAATCATTAATTTATTAAACTTCTAAATAGGTCAAAACATCCGCAAGCTTATAAAAGATGGTTTTATCATAAGGAGACCACAAACCATTCATTCTCGTTTTCGTGTCAGAGAAAAATTAAAGGCAAAGCGTAAAGGGCGTCATACTGGTCCTGGTAAAAGGAAAGGTACTTCCGAAGCTCGTATGCCTACTTCAGTATTATGGATGAGAAGGCAACGCGTGCTAAGAAGATTATTGAGAAAATATCGTGAATCTCGCAAGATCGATAAACATCTGTATGTATTTTTTAGCAGATCTAATGTCCTGGTAACATGCATTTAAAATATTATTCAAATTATTCTATATATAGTTACCATCAATTGTATATGAAGGCCAAGGGTAATGTCTTCAAAAACAAGCGTGTATTGATGGAGCACATCCACAAGGCTAAAGCTGAAAGAGCTCGTGCTAAGTCGCTTGCGTAAGTATTAGTTCGTCCACTTTATTTTGTTATGCGAGTGAGTATACGATCTATCATTGTACAAACATTTTTATACCTCTAGGGACCAAGCTGAAGCTCATCGCCAAAAAGCTAAGGCTGCTCGTGATCGTCGTAAGGATCGCCTAGAAGCAAAGAAGAGAGAGTTGCTCGGTTTAGACGCTGTAGAAGAACCACCAAAGAAACAAGATCAGTGAGACTGATGAATTCATAACCTTTGACTAGTGACAATCTGCAAATATACGAATAAAGTGAATAATTTTTTAAATGCATGTTACCAGGACATTAGATCTGCTAACAAATACATACAG